CCCGCGGCCCTAGGAAGCGCGCAGGGCCGGCATCCACCCTGCTGGGTGCACACGCAGTCTGCCCCCCGTGCGGGGGGAGGGGTCCCCCATGGCCGGGATCACGGAGGGCGGGTGCGGCCCCCGCACTCTGTCAGGAGCCGCGCTGCTTCCTTCCTCCCGAGACCAGCTTATCTCAGAGCCTCGGTTTCCTGGTTTTCCCTGCGCCTATTGTGTAAGGGGGGGGGCGGCTGAGACTCACCAAAGGGGTTTCACTGGCCTCCTAACAGATTACCCTGTTGGCCCTGGAAAGCAGGATACAGAGTTCCCTGTCCTTAGAAAACTAGATGTGATGCTAGTTTTGACATCTTTAGGACCTAGAACCAACCTTGAAGAAAAAGCTAAAAAGTACAAAACTGTGTGATGATGAATTACTCCTATTCCATAGGATGGAGAGGCTTAATCTACTAAACGTCTTTTAAATAATTACTCAAGTGAAGAGTCAGGTTTGAGCGATCAAGAGCACCACGACTTCCTCTGCCTCGTCTGCTGTGTTGTGGCGCGAGCCCTAATCTGCTCATCACGGTAACGTTTACAGAAGGATGTTTGTCTTTCCTATTCTGGGACACTGTTAGTATCAGGCTGACTTACAAATTTAAGCACAGATACAAATGAGATGATCCACTTTTTAAAACCCAGTAGGAGCGCCACACTGTTGTCAAAAGTGATTTTGACACTGTAAGATGTGAAGGTGATCTAAGAGGGCTCGCCCTTCAGATTAATGCTCCATCCCCATTTGCTACCTTCAAAGACTAAGTTCCAAAGCTTAACTATACAAGAAAAAGGCATTTTTACCATGAAAAATTGTTTCTTTGATATCCGTTTTTAAACCGCCTCACCAGGCAGTTGCAACATGGTCAAAAGAGTAAGGAGGCCAGCTCAGTCAGCACGCGTGGGAGGTCACAGTCACCTGACAGACAGAAGCCTCGCGCTTCCCCTCCATCCTCAGCAGAGGCCCGGGGTGCTGAAGGTGCCACGCAGGGCGGGGTGCGGAAAGAAAATGTGTGTTGGCTTTGGATCTCGGCTGAGGCCAGGCCACACCTTCTGGACCGACGGCCCCAGCAGCAGAGTGACCGGTCCCTCCTCCAAAGGTTCTTGTCCGCAGACAGACGCTCACGGGCTAGGAGCCAAGAGCCACACACCGCGCTCTCACACACAGCCGTTCCTCAGCGCCCTCCTGCGGGAGTGAGGGAAGTTCATCTCTAAGGCCTTGTAAGTTGTCTGAATAAATGAATTAGAATCATTTCCTCCTGTTAAAATAAGATACTTTCAAATTAAAGACAAATTAACTTTGCAAAGGATTAAAGAGGCAGAAATTCAAACCAGCTTAGCAGGACGAGCAGGTGAGTTTCTGAGGTCCACTGGCCTGCATCCAGATTTCCCGGCCCACCCACCATGCTGGCTACCCTGGATGGAGGTCCTCCAGCTCCTCCTCCCCCAGGGAGACCCCCCACTGCTCTCCCTGGATTGCAGCCCTCAGGGGGATGGGGACCTGAGTCCCAGCCACCTCCATTCTGCCTGATGCCAAAGCGTGCAGCAAACGCGCAGACACCGGTGACCAGACGCCCAGCCTTCAGAGCCACCCGGCTGCCAGAAGGCGTAGCCCGACGCACCCCAGCGCCCTCAGGAGCTAGACAGAAGCCACACTGGTGGGGAGCGAGTCTGCCAGCCCCAGAACTGCAGTGGAAGGCCACACGCTTGCCCCCACACTGTAAACGGTGTCACCGCACTAAACTTGCCCTGTTAGTCTACTGTCACGACACTTTTAAAACATCGGCCTTTCCTAATAAAAAAAACCACCAGATGCAATTCCTTTGCTTTTTCATTGTGAGGATGTGGGAAAAGCAGAAATAACTATATAGTAGTTAAGCTAAACGCCAAGTGGCATCAAAGCAGGGAATTTCAAAGCTAAAGCAGCGGAAGAAATCGAATTAATCCAGGGTTGATTTAAGTTAGTACCAGGGGCAAAGACAAGGAGATGTCTGAGTAAGGAGAAAAGTGGGGAGGACAGACAGATGAGAAAAACTCACAACTTGAAGATATATCAGAGCCTACGTGCCACAAGGAAAGAGGCTGAGTTATTTTTTCACTGCTACACCTCTGCCATCTAAAATGACACAGAGTAGGTACTCAAAAAAACACCTGTCAAATGATTGCAAAAACAGATGAATAAAAAAGGTTAAATTTATACTAATGAAGATGAAAAGCTACACAAATAGAAGATGCTAGCAACCCTTTAGATTTAAGGAAAGTGACTATCACAGAAGCTACAGTTTTCTAAATAAAGTTCGTGCCACAGTAGTAACCATGAGTCAGAGGCTCAACCTTTCAATAAACTCACTGTGAGCCCAGCACTTGACTGTCTGTAAGTGAGGTGGCCGAGGCAGTCCTCGGGGGAAAATGAGGAGCTGTGACTGCACAGAACAGAACGCTAGGTCTCCCAGACGGAGGCGAGGACACGAGGGTGACCGAGGTCAGACCGGTGGCTCCCCGGGAGGTGGGTGCTGATGCAGACAGGCAGAAGAGGGATGGGAGGATGGTGGAGACGGTCATGTGGTCACACACAGCCCAAAGTCACCAAGCTCACAGCTGCCCTGCCGGCTCCTACCAGCTCAAGAGAGGGTGCTGGGTTTCAGGAATGTTGTGGGCCAGCCTGCCACAGCTCACTGGGAGCCTGAAATAGGTAATGGCAAGAATATTTATGCCACAGAAGTTGGAAAATGCTACAAATCAGGGCTTTTTACAACCCCCTCCCAAGAAAGCCATTCGTTAAACATTTATCAGCATACCACTGCAGGTACCTTAAGATATGTAAACTCTATCTCAGAAAAAGAAAAAAAGAAGAAAAATTCTGGAAAAAAAAAGAAAATATTTAAATAAATAGCAAATTTAATTCTCAGTGTGTTAAAAGTAAAGTAAGGTTTTCCCTGAGAACGAAAAGTTTATCATCAGGAAATCTATGAATGAAATTTACTATATTAACAGATTGGAGGGAAACCACACGATCATTTCAACAGATGCAGAAAAACCAAACAATAAAATTCTACTGCTGTACATGATAAAGTTTATTTTTTAAAAGCTCTCAGCAAAGGAGGGCAGCAACTTGCTTAGTTAGATGAAGGGCACGAACAAGACGACGGCAGTGAGCATCCCTCCTGCAGAGGGAGCATCAGAGGCGTCCCCGCTAATGCCAGAGCCAGAGCAGTGTCTGCCTGCCGGCCGCCCCCACTGCTCCAGCCGGCTCGGCCTGGTGCCTCATGTCCTGGCCAGGGAGCCGGGGACAGCGCAAAACTCAGAGAGGAAGAGGCACCGCCTGCACAACCTGACCCTCCCTAGAAAACGTGGGACACAAATGATGGGTGGGGACAAAGTCCACATTCAAAACTCAACAGCCTCCTATACAGCAGTGACAGGCAACTGGGAACGCACCCTTCTGAAGAAGGAACTCAATATAGGATGCGAGTGGCACTTCTGATCGCTGGGCAAAGGGCAGACCACGCAATGACTGAGGCCACTGGCTAGCCAACCGGAAAAAAATATCAGGTGCTGACCTCAAATTGTGTAAAAACAGATTTCACATAAATCAATAGGCTAAATGTGGAAAACAGAACACAGACCTGCTGGAAGAGATTAAAGAAGAATGCCTCCTGATGTAGGAAAACGTTCTCAGATGCGCCTCAGTCCAAAAGTCATAAAGGGAAAGACTGATACCTCTGAATATATAAAAACTTAAAGTTTCTCTTTGGACAAAAATAATACAATGAAAAGGCCAAGGGCAGCCTAGCAGAGCATCCACAGCCACGTGAGAGGCGCCTCCGGCAGTCACTGCCCGGGTCACAGCGCCTCTTCCCACTGGAACCAGGCAGCGCTGACGGCCCCCTTTCACAGAACTGTGCCCATGCCCCCCACCCCGGCGTGGGAAGCACACCCCAGACCACTGCACACCGGGGCTCGAGGCGCCCGGACCGCTCAGCGCGAGGACTCCGCCTCCTCCAGAGTGGCAGGCCGCAGGAGCGTCATTGGGGCCCGGGGCAGTCGGAAGGCGGACAGCCCGCCCGAGCCCTCCGCCCAGCTTCCCCCGACGGCCACATCTGACAGCATCGCTGGACAGCCACCAAAATTAGGAACTCAACACAGGACACCGGCATCAGCTCCACCACCGACCGGACTCAGGTTCTGCCGGTTTTGCCCTGTGTCCTCTCTACTCGGCCCTCTCCAGACCCAGGCAGCCTCTCCCCGCCGTGTCCCCTGAGGCCCCTCACTCCCTC